GTGATGTTTTCATAATTTTCAGAGATTATGCATTACTTCATGGATATTTTGTATTGCTGCTTGCAAATATGCGTTTCCAAACTTGAAATATAGGTGTGAACATGTGTACCAGTTTAAAGCTTTCACTTCATTTGTGTTTTTTAATTAAGGATTTAGATGTTCCTCCAGTTACAGACCGGTTTTAAATATTGGACATAATATCCGTTTTAGTACCTGCTTTGCATTTACACATATTGTCAACTGGGACATGTAAACTCTGATTGTCAAAATTTATGCTATGTGGAATACTAATGACTTTACGTATTTAAAAAAAAAATAAAAATAAAAATGAATGTTTTGTTTTTCTTCTTCATTTTTACTTTGCATTGCATTTGGGTGTACAGAACAGTGGCCAGACAATCATATTCTTTACATAGTGTTCCCCTCAGTATTTCCAGTACTCCAACTAGCACCATACACACTTATCACAATATTATTGACTTTATTCCATTTGCTATATTTACGTCTCCATGACTATTTCATAACTACTAATTTTTACTTCTTTTTGCAGGTAATGTTTAATAGTGACATAAACTGGCTTGCTATTGCCATTTAGTGCAGTTTAAATTAACTCAAACAAAATTTCATTCCTGACAGCACAAAAACAATGTCAAGAGTAAGTTTGATTTACATGGGAATTAGTTTTAGCCTCAGATTTCAGCATTATTACCAGTTCCCTAGGGTGGCCTAATTTATTCTCTACTCTGTTCAACCCTGCAATAAATCTTCAGGATGTGAAACCAGTGCTTGCTTGGATAAATAAATGAATCAACGTGAAGTAAATGCAGTAAATCATCATCTTTCCTCGGTCTCCCTTCCTAGACAAATTCATATGGAAACAAACAAACAAAAATGCCAGGAGAGAAAGAAAAGCCCAAAATATTTTTAGCCCATGCCATTATTTAACCAAGATTGACCTACATTTTATCAGCATGGCCTCCACCTGCCCTCCCACCTGGCAGAACTATTTTCAGCACATAGGCCAATGCTTATTTTTGTAGATGTATTAAGTCACATCTTCTGTTAAGCAGTGGTTTTTGTGTGTGTGTTAAAGAAGTTATTTCTTAAGCACATCCAGCTGTTTTTTCAAGTATACCTTTAGGAATACGGGACAGGAAGTCTGAGAAGACATAGCTAACTCAGCACTACCTCTCAGAGCTACAAATCTATAATAATAAAAGCATAATATGCTAATTAGACCAGATGTCCTTCTGGTCCTGGATGAAGCTGGGGCTTCAAGGGAAGCCTGGGTCCTGGGTGCCAGAGGGAAGCCAGGGGAAGGAAGGTCTACTCATGTACGAACTTTGTGCATCGGGCCTCTAGTAATAATTAATAATAATATCTCAACAAAATTTACCTTGTTCATAGCAGATCAACAGTACTTGTATAAAGGACATTCATATTGTTTCTTCATTTGGCCATTATAAGTCCTGGATAATTACTTTTCTCTTTCTAATTTAATTTGCATTAATCCCAGTGTGTTTATTTTTTGAGTCCTAACACTCAAATCTGGCAGACACTAGCCTGTGGTTAGGAATTCAGGGCTTCTGGGAAAACATCTGGTCTTATTCTGAATAAATGCCTTAATTCACTTTATTATCATCCAAAACCTCACTGAATGTCCTTTCTAATGTAGTATTTGTTTCACATACATTATTTTAAAGTAAAAATAGATTAACAAATAAACGTGAAGCAAATGCATAGAACAATGAATAGAATGTTCAATATACTATTATCATGAGTTAATCATTAAAATTATTTCTAAAATGATCCTATTATTTTATCCAACTCAAGGCATTTCATTTTGACAAATGAATTTTGAATGGATTGAAGCCATTTTTACCTCTTTATTTTTTATATTTTTTATTTTTAAATATATTTTATTGATTTTCCACAGAGAGGAAGGGAGAGAGATAGAAAGTCAGAAACATCGATGAGAGAGAAACATCGATCAGCCGCCTCCTGCACATCCCCCACTAGGGATGTGCCCACAACCCAGGTACATGCCCTTGACAGGAATCGAACCTGGGACCTTTCAGTCCTCAGGCCAACGCTCTGTCCACTGAGCCAAACCAGTTTCGGCTACCTCTTTATTTTATTCTCACATTTTGTCCTTTAACTTTATAGTGCCACTGTTATAAATGCAGTGTAAAGTGCAGAATAACTTTTTTAAAAATATGTTTTTATTGCTTTTAGAGAAAGAGCAAGGGAGAAGGAAAACGAGAAACCTCTATGAGAGAGAGAGAAACATCAATTGCCTGCCTCCTGACACTCCCTGTTGGGGATCAAGCCCAAAACCTGGGCATGTGCTCCAACCAAAAATCAAACCAGCAACCTCTCGGTGTATGGGATTACACTCAACTAACTGAGCCACACCAGCCAGGACTAGAAGAATATTATTTTTTATATACAAGACCTATCATGTGGTTACTAAGAGTTATAAAACATAACAAAAAATTATGGGAATAGTTTAGCTATAAATTAACCCATAGTCACTTAATAGATACTGCTGGCTTTTCGCTACCAAACATGTGCACAAATGCATATCTATATATATGAAAGCCTAAGTGACCATCGCAACCAAATCTATGATAAGCAATGACCACCAGGGGGCACACATGGAAACATGGAACAGACCGGGGGGGGGGGGTCAATGAGGGACGACTAAACAACCGAACAGCAGGCTGCATGGGGCCAGGCCAGCGGGGTGTGGGGGGAGAAATTGGGGGTGACCAGGCTTGCAGGATGGGCAGTGAGGGGCAACCAAGCCAGCAGAGGGGGCAGTTAAGGGTGATCAGGCAGGCAGGCATGTGAGCAGTTAAGAGCCAGTGGTCCCAGATTGTGAGAGGGATGTCCAACTGCTGGCTTAGACATCCCCCAAGGGGTCCCAGATTGAAGAGGGTGCAGGCTGTGCTGAGGGGACCACCCTCCCCATTCACACATTTATTGCACCGGGCCTCTAGTGTGCATATAAGTGCATGCATCCAAATGTTTCTGTATATATTGAACAGTAAACTAGGAATATTTCTATTTTAATTTATGGGTGATGTTTGGGAAGAATGAATTTCTTTAAAACAAAGACTGATGCATCTCTAACTATAGCTATAAGAATACTATGTATCTACTTTCTCTATTGTGTACAGCTAGAACATTCAAGAAAACATTTATCTAATTATAAATATTTATATGTGCTTCTTGCTGGAAAGGTAGAGACTGTGAACACCTAAGATAATAAAATGTGATTGAAGCATCCAACAACATAAATGAAGTTCACTTAAATTTAATGTGCAGGAATGACACAATCCCTGTACTTTCTCAGTTTCTTCAGCAGTCCTCACTCTCAAACAGCAGTCTACATGTGTGAGAAAATACAAATGGCTTAAGCAGTACGCGCCAAACTCACGGCCTTATATCCCTGGGTGTATTCAATAATTCTCAAGTGGTAACATCAGTTACATTCTAACTTGAGATGGGCAGTTGACTTGTATTTTAATTTTTTTGCAATAAATAGAGTAATATTATTTCACTCCATTATATTTTTTATAGCAAGTAGTTCCATACTCTGTGGACATAGTAAAGGCTATATTCTCCTTTTCTAGCCCTCTTAGAAATATTTAAAATTTGTAAAACGTTACATATGAAAGGTCTTATTCACAGAAGATCCAAAATACCACTATTTTCTAATATTTTGTGAGAACTGCAAAAATCACGGAGAATTACCGGATGACAATATCTCAAAAAAGTCATCCACTTCCCCACATGTGAGCTCTGACTTGCGTGATGCTGGTGATATGTGCCTCAGTTTACTTATTTTCCCAGTCACTCCTGAATTCCTGAGATTGATTCTTTCACAAGATGTGCTGAATATGTCATTAGCATACATCTCCCAATCCTCTTCCTCCCTTATCCAAGCCACCAAAACTTAGAGGTTGCCAAAAATATCCTCTCTCTGGAACATATTTGTAATATTGTTAACCTGGTGGTTCCACTGCTGCCATTTCAACACCAGGGGCTCTTTGACACTGTTATGAGCTACTTTTACCCTCACCATTTTGACACAAATTAAAAAAATAAAATACTGTAAGACAAGCTTTTATACAAACAACTTCTGTTCAAAGACATCCTGTTCTTGAGCCTTACCTGTTTCAAACCTCCAACCTGTAAGGTAGGCATAAGCAAAGAGATGTAAGTCAAGGATTCAGAGTCAGAGATGGGACAGAAGTTGGACAGAAAAACTACAGATCACTGAGAGTCATGTCCAACTATAACTTCTTAACCCAAAAACAGGCCTCCAGCTGCTCTTAGGAAACATCTGCCTTTTCTCTGAGAAGTCATTAATATTTTGAAAACTTTACATTCAGGCTACATAATAAATCTGCAATTGTATTTATCTCAATCATATAGTTCATATATAGAATATCTTCAGCATTGAAGTATAGGACTAATAACCCATCTGAAGGCAAAGTTACTATAAAAATGAGATTCTACTTCTGGTATGA